TGATTAACAAGTTTGAGGCATGAAAAGCAAAAATTATGCAGCGTGGCTATGAATTGATCAAGTGTTCATCACAAATTCTGCCTTGTAAATCAAGAATGAAACCCTAACTTTATCTCTTTGATTCTCTTAGCTCAAGCATGATCTCAATGAGTTCTTGGTATTTTTTGAAATCTTGTAACATCCTATACAACCTTCATGTTTTCCATTTTTGAATAATCCAATTGGAAATATGTGAAAAGTTGTCATGAAGTTGGTACCAAAAATCTGCCTAACTAGTTCAAATTTTCACTGTGTGTTTTAAGAAAAAGTTTATGACTTTATGGCCTTATAACTCAAAATCTAAGCATTTTTTGGACATGAGCCCTCTAATACAAGTTTTTAGAATTCATAAATATCTACAACTTTCATGTTGAAATTTTTCCTTGAATTATCTTGCATCATGGTGAAAAATTAGCATGAACTCATGAAGAAAAGCATGTATAAAACACTCAGAAAATTTTCTAAGTCTTAGAAACATTGACTTTTCAAAATGAATTTTGAATTTATTGATTTCTTGATGATCATGTTTCATATTTTTGCATGTCTTGATGAAATATGATCTTTGAAACTTAATTTTGATTTAAAAGTCAAAGTTTAACTTTTCAGTGTACAATTGACTTTTTCATCAGTTGATCAAATTTTAGCTATTAATCAATTGATTTTGAGAAATGAATTGAACCATGCAATTAGGTCAAGATGCTGCATTTGAATCCTTGTTATCATGTTTCAAGCTAATAAGTCATGTATTAGGTCAAAAGTAAAAAATCAAGCCTTCTCAGTCAAAACCCTAATTTTGACCATTTTGTCCTTTTGGTGATTTGATCAATTTTCTTGGGGAATTGTGATCCAAACTTGATCAATTGATACATATGAGTTCAAAATGTTGATATGGGCCAAAAATATTGAAGTTTGACTGTAATTTGACCATAATTGACTTTTTACCCAATACAATTGATTTTAGGTCATCTGATCAATTGACTGAGCAAACTTGAACTACAAGACTTGAAACTTGACATGAGAAATCTTGAAGGTCCATAATGATCCATGAAAGTCATATGAGGCATTAAAAGTCCAATTGTCCTTGTTAAAACTTAAACCCTAATTTGAGGTATTAGTGCTGAGGAAGTGTCTTGTCCTAGCCAGTCCTTGTGCAAGCTTGAACTATTGAAGATCTTGTGGGAAATGTCTTGAGAAATGAGAGGGAAAATTTTGGGGTACAACAGTGTGACTAATTTATTTCCTTAAATTCACACTGAATTGAGAATGAAATCGGAGAAGAATCATATTTCTTGATCATGGGGGATTGGAAAACACGAGTGTTTGTGAAATTTGAGTGATTTACACAAGATCAAAGATGAACAGCAAAAATGGTAACTTGAACATAAAGCTTCCAATACATGACAAAAAGAATTGGAATCAGTGGTCAATTCAGATGCGTGTGTTGTTTGGCACTCAAGATTTTTTGATTTCATCAATGACGGTTACACGATGATTGCAGCAGATGCAACATAAGCGCAAAAAAACACGCAACATGAAACAAGGAAGAAGGATCAAAAGACCTTATTCTATATTCGTCAGTGTATGTATATGAATGTGTTTGAGAATATTGTTAACGCTACGACAGTGAAGGCGAAATGGGACACACTGTTGTAGTGTCATGGCAACAACGCCTCAATGAAGAAGGTGAAGTTGCAGTCCCTACGTAAGCAATACGAGAATCTCAACATGAATTAAAATGAGAAGATACTAGATTACATCTCCAGAGTGACTCTGATAAAAAATGAGATGAAGACTTGTGGAGAAACTCTCTTTGGACAAGTTATAATTGAGAAGGTACTCAGATCCCTTACTCCTCAGTTTGATTACGTAGTTGTAGCCATAGATCATTTTAAAGGAACTAGCACCATGAGAATTGAAGAACTTCATAATAGCTTAGAGGCACAAAAGTTGTGTATAACTAAAAGAAACTCTGAAAGGGTGTCTGAATAGGCTCTGAAGGCTTCTTTTGTTAAGAAAAACAAGAAGCAAGCATGACTAGAGAACAAGAAAAATAATGTTCATAAGTCAAAACCTTCTTCTTCTGAAGAGAACAAACAAAAGAATATTTAGAAGGGAAAGGAGAAGTTTGATAAGAGAAAGGTTCAGGGCTACAACTATAACATATTTGGACATTATGCCTTTGTCTGTTGGTCAAATAAAGAAAGAAAGTGTAAAAAGCCAATATATCCAGGGGAGATTTAGAGAATGAACACGTGTTATTGACGACAACTAAGAATGGAGGTGAAAATATGGTAGACTGGTAGTATGTGGATACTGGATGCTTAAATCCTAATTGGAAACAAACAATGGCTTGTTGATTTTGACTCAGGTAGAATGACCAAGATCAAATGTGCTGATGATAAGTATATGAATGCTGGAGGAATAGGAAATACTAGAGTGAAGTTGCAGAATGAAAAAACTGCTATGATCAAAGATGTATGGTATGTTCCTGGAATTAAGAGCAATATGATGAGTGTTGGTCAACTGATTGAAAAAGATTTTTCAATAACCATAAAGGACAATATCTTGAAGTTGTATGACTATAACCAGAAGCTGACTATGCAAAAATGAACTAGGAAGAAATATGTCATTCAAGGTGAATGTTGAAACATCAGTCATTCAATGTCTTAGTGCAACAAGTGTTGCAAGGGAGAGTGAGTCGTGGAAAAATATATTGGGGCATCTAAACTTCATAAGCTTATAGCATATGAGTTCAAATAAGTTGGTACTTGGAATTCCTAAGATAGTGGAACTAGAGAAATCATATGACATGTGAATGAAAGGCAAGCAACCAAGATTTACTTTCTCATCAAAATTGTCTCCAAGAGCAATTCATGCTTTGGGTGTTGGGTATCCAGATGTATATGGTCCATTTGAAGTACCTTCACTTGGATGGAACAATTACTTTGTGTCATTTATGAATTAATTCACCATAATGACATGGGAATCACTCATAAAGTTCAAATGTGAGGTGTTAACTGAGTTCAAGAAGTTCAAAGTGAAGGCTGGAAATCAAAGTGGACAATGGTTGAAGATTCTTAAAACTTATGATGGAAGGGAGGAGTTCAACTCCGGAGATTTCAAGAAGTTTTGTGAGGATAATGGTATTAAGCATGATGTGGCTTCTCCATATACTCCACAACATAATGGTCTTTCTAAAAGAAGAAACAAAACTTTGCTTGACATGACCAGAATCATACTGAAAGAAAACAATTTTCCTCACACATTCTGGGGAGAAATTGTTGCTACTACATCTTATATGCTCAACAAATGTCCAACTAAGAATTTAAAGGAAATAATTCCCATGGATAAGTGAACTAGATGAAATCAAAGTGTGAGCCATATGAAGTTTCTTGATTTTTTTGTTACAGACATATACCAGATGCTACTAGAAAGAAATTGCATGACAGGAGCAATATCATGTTGCTTATAGGTTATCGTTATACATGTATCTATAATCTCTATTGCCAATTCACAAATAGATTTGCTGTCAACAAAGATGTCATAGTAAAAGAATTAGAAACATGGGATTAGAGCAAGTTTAATTCTTCTTCTGGAGTTGATGTTTCTGAAGATGTCTCTGAAGGAGAATATTCCTCTAAAGGTGATTCAGAATGTGAAAGTGACTCAAACACTGGTGGTCCAAACTTTGAAGGTAGTCCAACCTCTGATGGTAATCCATAATTTGGTGGTAATCCATCTTGTGAAGGTGTACCTAACTTTGAAGTTGAACTTGCACAGTTCTAAAGGCCACATATAGTTAGACAGATACCAAGGTGACTTACAAATTTGGAGTTGTTACATGATACAAAGGTTGACTCTAAAGGAGAAGTCGTACAATGTTCCATGATGGTAGACTCTAAACCTACTGTAATACCCCAAATTTTTCCTACCCATTTATAAGGATCATCTTGCTTATGCATTCCGTTCTCATGTCATCTGCATATCCTCCATTAGGTCAATTAACACCTCATGCATCACTAATCGATAAACTTGGTATAGGATCAAGGATCTTGGAGTTAGGGGGTTCTTTTTTTGATTTGAAGCTCTTATCTTTACTCAAGTGTGTTTTAACAGGCTCTTCGTCAATTAGGGTTTGTGGAACCAGGATTGTGTGTGGGATTCTTCTGCATCTAGCTACAAGGTTGCCATGTTAGACTAAGGATATTATTGAACTAATGCTTTAGTTCTTGTTAATATCTCAAGATGTTTATTCATTCAAAAGGAACTCAAGTCAAGAGGATTATGGTTACTTATTCATGTAGTTTTGAGCTTGCAATACCCATCAACTGAGTTTCATTGGATTCTCATGTCAAAGCTATCTTGGTCATATATATTTCCATATTCATTTTTCAAGAGTTCTTCAATGCATTGATATGGTATTGGTTATCAAGTCAAGGGCTTGTGAATTGAATGATAATTTAGAATTTGAAGTTAGGGGCCCAAGGTGATTTGAATTTGTCACTGAGATTTGGAATTGCAGACTTGCAAAGATAATCAAAGTTTTAAAGTACAAGTAATCCATTCATGGTTTATCTTGAAATCAAAGAATAAGTCATAAGCTTCAATCTAAATTTTCAAGGCGTGTTCATTCAAAGTACATTCAAGTTTTATTTTGATTCAAGTTTGGTAAATGGATACATAGTCTAAAGATGGAAGTTGTTCAAGATTACAAGAAATTCCAAGGTATAGCTCAAGTTCATTCAAAATTGCGAGACAAATATCATTTCATCATCAGTTTTTAAAGTGAAAGAATTGAAGAGGAATTTAGTTCTAAATGGATGATTTTTTCTCATTGATCTCAAACTTCTATTACAAGGTCATCAGAAGAAATTGTCCCAATTATTCCCCAGTGAGCGTTTGAATATAAAGAGTTGTTGCTGGACTGTAATAGGGATGTTAGGCAGGATACTCATGGAACCATGACCTCACTTGTTAATGCTGTTGGGAGAGATTTAGCTTCACATTTGAAGACTTTGATGGGACCATGGTGGTTTGCACGATTTGATCCAGCTTATGAAGTTTCTCAGGCAGCAAAAAGGTCTTTGCAGGATACCTTTCTAGCACAGGAAAAAAAAGACTTGATGCTTTGATTTTATGCACAACAGAGATATTCATGTATTTAGAAGAAAACCTAAAGCTCACGCCACAAAGTTTGTCTGACAAAGCTGTTGCCGTGGATGAGTTGAAAGAGATGTACCGACAGGAGATATCATCAATGTTATTGGCATTAGCCTCTCTTCTTGACGTTTTAATTTTCCCACAACAAGAGCAACCTGCTTCGGAGAATATAACTACTGAACCTAAGCATGCATCAAGACCATTTCACAATGATTAACCTGCATCAAAACCAGTTCATATAAATTAAATGCCTCGGTTCAAGAAAAATAAAAATAAAAATAGAAAATAATTAAGTCAGAAAAATAGTTAAACAATAACAGAATCTTATAACTGTTTCTAACAGAAATTATGACAGAAAAACCAACTCTCTAACAGATTCCATAACCCCTAACTGCCTCTAAAATTTTTTTAGCAGAAGTATAACAGAAAAAGGGAGAGGACATACAAAATTAAGTCACCGGAAAAAAACCTCAGAGCTTTAAAACTTTCTGGGATTTTATCTCTGTTATCCTCATCACCATCAGAATCATTCCTAAATTTTCTCTACCTCATCTTCATCATTCTTCATCTGTCAGAAGAATCACGAAAAAATCACAAAGAAAAGAAGCTTCTCAATTTCTCCCTCTGCATTATTTGAATTCTCTGAGTTCTCAACGAGCTTCATCTTACCTCATCATGAAACAAGATTTGTATCATCATCTTCACCAATTCCTCTGCACAGATCAACAACAGCACTGTGAATTCAACACAATCACAGAGTAACGACGTAGTCACAAAGATTGCGGAAATAGAAAAGACAGAAGAAGAGGAAAATGCAAGCGAAACAAGTAGGACTGAAAGGTTGATGGTGCTTACTTGAATTTCTCATCGCCGACGTTGTTGAAACGCCATCGGAGCATCTCCAATTGGTAAGTATGCTCATCCTTCTACGATTCTTTTTTCCTCTTATTTGTTTGAATCTGTGAAAGTATTTACAGTACTGTGAATGTTCAAAACTGAAGCGAATCCAAGAAGTTTGAGCATTGACTGAAAGACGAATGAGTTGGAGAAACGAGCAAAAAAGAGATGAAGTGAGATAGGTTGAGATGAAGCTCTGAATTGAGAAGGAGGCATGAGCGACGAAGTTGGATTAAGACGAAAGGGTTTCTGTCGTGTTGAATCGAAGAAGAGATGAGACGAGATTTATGGTGTGGTTGGTATTCACGATTGAAATTGAAATCGACATCGACAACAAGCGAGATCAGAGACGAGAGCTTGAACGGTGGATGAGATGGGAAGGAAGAGAGACTTCTTGTTTGTAATAAGATGAAGCGTCACACCCAAATTTAACCCTAAGTTCCCCTTTTTGTTTTTTAATTTTTTTATTTATTCTGTTATTAAATAATAATACAAAAAAAATTAAGAATGGATCTGTGTTAGAGATATTTGGGCTTGACCGAATCTTCTGTCTCTAGGCCCCTTAGTTTGTAAAGGCATGTCTGTTATAACACAAAAAAAAGCTTCTGGACTCAATTCTGTGGGCCTAGCGCCCAGGGCCTTAGCACCTCATCTTATCTGCACCCCTGACTCTTCCTAATTGTTTTAATTTTTTTATTTAGTTTAAATTTTATTTTAAATTTTCTTAATAAAAACTTAGTAATAAAAGGAAAAAAGATATATAGAATTTAGGACTTTCTTTTAATTTTCTATATTTTGTTATGATAAAAAGATGTAAAATCAATAAAATTGAAGCGTTTGTTCATTGTGCAACATACATTTTTGATGCTTGTGATCATGTAACGTAACAAGTTGTTATGTGATCGAAGCATATGGCTTATGCTCGCTTCCAATACGACACACCTTATTTCTCATCGTCCTAAGAAATTCATATTATATTATATGTTGTCCTGATGCATGTGATATATTATGACGCTTTGTGCAGAAACTTCTGATTACGTGTTGCATTCGTAACATACGTTTGTTTTTATCTTAGTTGGATATTGTTTCTAACTTTGTTTGTTTCTTGGTGAAGCTTGCTCGATGCATACTCCTTGCTTCTCCACCACTTTAGTTTTCTTTCGACAATTTTCTTGCTTTGGTAGTCGATGCTACTACTTTCATATTTCTACACTTTATCGTATTTCTTTATCGTTTTTCTAGAGATCATGAGAAGTATGGCTTTACTGCTTTCTGATTCCATGAGAAATAGGGTAGATATGTATGAAGGGGATATTCTTTGCTGATCATGTCAGGAATCCCTCTGGTTTATTGAAAGACTCGTTTAGAGAAATTCTGCATTGTGTGTTTTTTGTATGCTATATGTGTTTGTTTAAAATCCTACCTTTGAAGTATGTATTTCGCATGTGTGTTTACATTTGTGCTTGTATAGCGGGATGATGGTTGTAGGTCCTTTTATGGAAATCATTCCTAAGTCCTCATGGGAAGGAAAGTGGAAAGGGTTAGCAATCAATCCCGACCAGTTTCCGTCTGTGTCATTCCTATGCTCGCTTTTTGCAAGTTCCGAGCTCCAATCATGTTCCCAAGATCATGTGTATCGATTCTGTCAAGTGGGGAAGGGTTTTACAATCAAACCCCCACACTTTGTCAGGAGTTGGCATTGGCCGATGCTAACACTCCGTGATTGTTCATATTTCCTTCTGTCACCTACCTTAATCTTCTATATCTCGGTTAGGTGTTCAGTCGCTTTGGACATCACATTTTTGTTTTACATCTTATTTCCGCTTGTTTGCTTCGGGTGATTCACCCCCCTTAGCTAAAGTATTTCTCTTCTTTTATTTTCACTCCTGCTTGTTTGCCTCGGGTGATAGGCTCTCCTTGACTAAACAATTTTGCTTCTTTTCTTTACCCTTTCATGTGTGTGCTCTTTCGAGCTTGTTTGTTTACTCTCCTTGTACATATCATGTTCCCTTAGGATGGGCTTGCTCCTTTCGGATGCAAGATTAGACCTTAGGTTGCAAACCATGCATGCTAACATTAGGTAGACATTTCCCTTTTGTTAATCTAAACCTTAGGACCACCATTATATAATAACATTAGGGGTAGTTCTAGGCTAGTCTCCCTTAGTTGTTTTCTTCCCCTTTTGCATTTGCATTTAAAACTAAAAATTTCCCTTTTCTTAGAAAATCATAAAACATGCTAATCATACTTAAACCATTTTTCAAGGTAACAAAACACAAACCAATCAAGTGTGGCATATTTCCTTGAGGGCGTAACTCAAAATCATTTTCAAGTAAGGACATGGTTAATTTACTTTTGTGCCAACGCGTGAGTCTCCAAAGGTCAAGTTGCGGCAGAAGGCAAAATTAATATTGTTCATAAAAAACACAAACAAACAAAAACATGTGAGACAAACTATGGTAACTCTGATTCCTTAAAAAGGATACGTAGGCATTGGGGTAGGGCCCAAGCGAGCACAAATTTATTTTCCCTACATTATTTTCTCCTTTATTTTGCATGCATTCTTCCTAAGTAAGCAGTAAGTATAGATTAAACACACCCATAAGATTAGATAACAAGAGTGGATACCATAGAGTACTACAGGCGTGCAGGGTGCTAATACCTTTCCCTCGCGTAACAGACTCCCTTACCCAATCTCTCAGTCACAAGACCGTGACTTCTCCCTTCTCAGGTTTTCTCGATGTTTACCTTTCCCTTCATGTGGGATAAAAGACGTTCGATGGCAACTTCATTGTATGATGATTTTCAGCCAGTTGTTTCAGCTGGATACTTCACTGGGGACAAATCGACCAATTTCCGGTCCATCCCGGAGTTACTCCTAGCTCTTGTTTTCTCTTCTTTGGGTGTTTAATTTTAGGATATAAGTTTATTCATCCATACATGATTACCTGAGCATATCTATGCATTGCATTTTACTGTTTTCCATATACTACTGTTGTACTGGATATGCTTTTTTATTGGTTGGGTGTTACTATTCAGGTAAAAGGCCCAGTACCCAGGCCAGAGTGCACTAGGACACTGGGAATAAAGTGGGGACATGACGGATATAGAACATGGTTCGACTAGTGAAGTCATGTCATATACCACGCTCTGATGAGGTCTAAATGAAGGTATTTTCATCATGCACGTCTGTGTTGCGTTAATTTTACTTTCAAGAGGACCTGTGATTTTCGAGTTACCCTTGCCTTACCATGACCTAGTCTTTACCCGTGAGTGGGGAGGGGATAATCTTTATAGGTACCATTGGTGACTTGTTCTGTTGGTGACTTATTCTATCGGTGACTATGAGGTTCTTATATTTATTTTTATGAGTTCCAAACCTGATGTTTACGGGGTTCTTAGGATTATGTTTCGAACCTATGATCCTGGTACTAGCAGACTATGCAGAGACAGTATAGTAGAAATCAGTATCATAGAAGTAGTAATCCCATGATCACTTGCACTTGCATCATAGCATGTTTACTTTTTAAAAGAAAACGCTAGAAAATGAAACTATATACTAACCTTGCATGTGCATGTCCATTCCGGGGTATCTCAGAAAGTTATAGTTTCCGTCAGTAATGTCTAGCAACAGTGATGTTCCCAAGAGGACCTAAAGAGACAGTTTTACTTGTTCTGCTCAAGTTCTTGGCCTTCTTTGAAGAGTTTGAAACTTTTTAGTCCATCCTAATGCAGAGGCTTTCCGTGAAAGACATGACGACAATTTGACTCTGATAGGTGTTCGGGTTGATAATGGAGCTCTTTGGACTCTACTTCAGTTTTACGACTATGAGTTACGCTATTTCACCTTCCTGGACTATCAGATCGCTCTTACTTTATAAGAGTACTGGCATTTGCCCAAGACCACCGAGCACATGTTGTTTCGAATGAGCCCAATATTGAAGTTGTTGCTAAGGCACTTTATTTGGGCCTTAGTGATGTGAAATAAGGATGGAGAAAGAATAGTGGTCTACCCTCATACTTCTTGGCTAGTAAAGTAGGAGGAGTGGCTAGAGATGGTACTCGGTGTACAGACTATGGCACAATTCAACAAGGAAATTGCAAATCTCAAAAAGTAGGATGAAAGCAATAATGGGGGCGAAAACATCAGTCGCAAACGAAGAGTATGTTGATTTGTTGACTTGGTTCCGTAATATGGAGATCATGATGGTCAAGAAGGATGAGGTGTTTCAAAGTATGGTTTTTAACACTTGGAGCACAGTCTGTTGCATTCTTTAGAGCTAGGAGATTAATTATTGTACTATTGTTCCGATTACCACC